AACACTATGATGTAAAGTCAGTGCTGCTTATGTTACATGATAAGTGGATAAGAAAGGGAGGAAAACAAAGGTATTTGATACATACACACAAATATGTTCATAACAAAATTAGGAAGAAAAATACTCCTAGCAATTCTCACTCCTATAACTGGTCATGAACTGATAGCTAGTATTTATAACTATGTTCTTCCATTACCCATTCCGTATTCCTCGTTGCCCTTGGTAAGCACCTCAGCTGGTCATGGTTCTTTACCTGGTGGGGCAACCCAAACCTTCATCCCTGAAGGCTCTGGGCCATTAGTAGCCCTGTCTGGTTTGGGTTATTGTAGATTTCCACTGATTTTAATCACAGGGCTTGGTGGTACTCATGGAAGCCCTTAGGGATCATCTGTATTTCAGACATACTCTTCCTTACCTCCGTTGTGGAAGAGTAGTCCAGTTTCCCCTTGGTCATCAGGATCAGTCACCCCAGCCTGCACAGTAGCTCTCTTCTTTGCCTGTTGATTCAGAGGCATGAAGAACCCTAAGTGGCTAGGTGGCAGTCTTAACTTCCAATCCAGTGGAATCATTGTTGTGTCTCCTGGTGGATGCATTCCTCTCTTTGGAAACTAAGACCTGTAGGCCAGCAGAGCATAAGGTTGTGGAGACAGGAAGCAAAAATTTTGCTTAATGGGTCAATAGGGATAATAATAAATGGTGTCACTCACATTTTCTTCCTCTGACTGCTGGATCTGTGAATCCTGGCCATGGGAGAAACAGCATATGTTGACATTGATTCAGAGTATATACAGCCTTCTGGGGAACCTCGCCCCAGCCCTGCAAAGTATTGCTGCTTGGCTGGTGCTCTGAGTCTTCAAAAGGCCATTCCACTTTTCTCTCAAGCCAGCTGCTTCAGGATCATAGGGAACATGGTAAGACCAGTGAATTTCATGACCATGGGCCCATTGCCACACTTGTTTTGCTGTGAAGTGAGTTCCTTGATCAGCAGCAATGCTGTATGAAGTAATAGGATGTTGGATGAGGCATTCTATAAGTCCACGGATGGTAGTTTTGATGGAACCATTTTGTGCGGGGAAAGCAAATCTGTTTCCAGAGTAATTGTCTATTCCAGTAAGAACAAAACACTGCTCCTTCTGTGGTGGAAGCAGTCCACTGTAATCAACCTGCCACCAGGTAGCTGGCTGATCACCCTGGGGAGTGGTACCATATTGAGGAGTCAGTATTAGTCTTTGCTACTGGCAGATTGACACTCAGCAGTGGCTGTAGCCAGGTTGGTCTTGGTGAATGGAGATCCATGTTGCTGAACCCATGTATAACCTCAGTCCCTGCCACCATGGCCACTTTGTTCCTGAACCTATTGGGCGATGACAGGAATGGCTGGGGAAAGAGGCTGGCTTATGTTCACAGAATAGGTCATTCTGTCCACCTGATTATTAAAATCCACCTCTGCTGAGGTCACCCTTTGATGAGTATTCACATGGGACACAAATATTTTCACTATAAAGGGCCAAATAGTAAATATTTCAGGTTTTGTATACCACATATGGTCTCTGTCACATATTCTTCTCTTCTCCCTCCTTTTTCTTCTTTATTACAACTATTTAAAAATGTAATAGTCATTTTTAGATTGTGTGCTATAGTTTGCTGACCTCTGGCTTAAATGGTAAAAAAATGCAAGGTTCAGTTAAGTGAAAATTATATTGGGAGGAAATCCACATTTCCAGATTGTGAAGGTTAAGGATGGCACAGCATTAATTTTAATTATAAATTGGGATAAAGCCAAGAAAGTCTTAATAAGGCAGCGAATGCTACACAGACGACAAACACACGTATATGCACATACATATGTGTGTGTGTGTGTACGTTACATATATACACACACCCATATAGAGTCATTCAAGAAATAGTTACAAATTACCTAAAAATTTATAGCAAGTGAATTGCCAAAGTTGAGGTCACAAACTCAAGTGCCTCCAAGGACCTGACAGATAAAAGAATGAATTTTGGGCTGGCCTGGTGGCGCAGCGGTTAAGTGCACACATTGCGCTTCGGCGGCCCGGGGTTTGCCGGTTCGGAACCCAGGTGCAGACGTGGCACCTCTTGTCAAGCCATGCTGTGGTAGGTGTCCCACATATAAAGTAGAGGAAGATGGGCACAGATGTTAGCTCAGGGCCAATCTTCCTCAGCAAAAAGAGGAGGATTGGCGGCAGTTAGCTCAGGGCTAATCTTCCTCAAAAAAAAAAAAAGAATTTTTTTTCTGGAGATATACGTATATATAAAATAATCTGGCAGTCCTCACCCACTGAGATATAAAAGGATACACTCATGCTAGAGATAGACCCAGGGGGTCTACACTATGGAGTTTTCATCACTGTGACTAGACAAGCGAGGATCACCAGACACTTGAAGAAAACCCATAAGACAAAAGAGAAGGATCAAGATGAGGAGCTAAAATGACTTTAGAAGAAACAGGATTCCCTGGAGAGAAGAACAGTGAACAGCAGAACATTTACAAGAAAATCTAGCTTGTATTCCTAGAAAGATTCAAAAGAATACCACAACTATAATGAGAACAGGTTACTAATGTGTAATCAGGAAATAAGGAAGTCATTTTTTTTGTGTTAAAAAATCATTGATAAAAATAAGAAGTCTGTGGATGGACTGAGGAATAAAATGGACTAAAGACCAGTTTGGTAACCTGGGAAATAAAGTTGATAAAATACTAAAGGATGTAGAACACAAAAATACAAATAAATGAAAAATACAAAATTAAAATTAAGAAATATGGAGTTCCGATATTTGCCTAATACAAATTCTAGCAAGAAAGAATAGAGAATAGGAAGAAAGAAATAATTAACAAAAAAAGCAGAGGAAAACTTCTCTGAACTGGAGAAAGATAAAGTCGTCAGTCTGAAAAGAATTCCTTGAGAGCCGACAGGATTAATCAAGATAACCCACACCTAAACAAATTCTTGTGTGATGTCATAACTAAATTCCTGCATATTTCCAGTGAAGATGGAAATAATGTGTCATTCAGTGATCATTTTTCTTCTTGTTTAACTGAGTAGGGTAGATGTAATTGTTCTTTGCCTTTTATGAATAATTTCTCGCAGGGCTAGAGAAGAGACATACATTGTCAGATTTATGTAATATTTTGGTATTCATTGTTTGGTAACAGTTCTGTATTTTAAAGTGTCAATCGTTTGGCAGCAGTAGATTTCCATACTATATGCTTGCCCCTAAGCACTTAGGACCTTGAGCTCCCATAGCACTTTGTTCAGATGTCTTATATAGTACTTGTGTAGTGATTTATTTACAGTAGATCTTTTATTGGATTGAATTCCTTTATTGGGGAGGCATGCAGTAAAACTATGTTAAATGATTGAGCTAGATGGGCTATTTTATTTACTAATCACGTTCTTGGTAATGTTGCAGAATTTTTATCTTCTGTTGATGTCTTCTGCATATATGGTTTGTTTTTTCTCATGGCATTACCTTTTAGCATACTGTATAACTTACTAATTTATTGTTTATCTCCTTCTTCTAGAATATAAGCTTCATGAGAGCAGGGTTGGTTGTTTGTTTTGCTTATTGATGTATTCTAAGTGCTTAGTATAATGCCTAGGAATGAATGAATTCCTGAAATGGAATGGACAGGATGAGAAAATTGGAAAAATATTTTTGAAGTTGAAGTTTCCTATGGGAATTTTGTTATTTTGTTAATAATATTGCCGATTTCTAGAAGATAATATCTATCAGTATTCAAATAAGAATTTTAGTTTGCATCCCATAGACATAAATAATTTTTGTATCTTTTGCTATTTTGAGTTATTACTTTATTCTTATAGATAATTGAGTTGACAGTATTAGTTCAGTACAACAAACGTTTATTAAATGCCTACCATGAGCTAGCACTGGATAGACAGACAGATCAGTAAAACACAGTCTCTGCCCTTGAAGAGATTGGATCATGAGAACAAATAACTACAATGCATTGTAATATATGTAGTGAGGAAGGTTTGTAAGGTTTACAAGTTGAAAGGCAACTTAGCTTGGGCTAATCTTATTGTGTTTGGTTTTGTTAGATGTATTAAGGAAGAATTATTAGAAAAGTTATAGAGACTTCTGAATATCTGTAGTTTACTGTAGGAGTTCAGCTTGGAGAAAAAGACTTGTGATGAAGACATACTTCTAAGACTTTTCAAAATAAAAATAAGTATAAAAGTAATACATGTTCATTGTAAAAATTGAAAAATACAGAAACACAAACAGTATATAATGTTCTGTCATTTGCTTTTTCCACTTAATGTGTTCTTCTTTCCAGTTTGCTACATATAGATCTTCCTCATTAAGAAAAAATTGTTGCATGATATTCAATTATATGTCTGTAGTATAATTTAAGCCAGCTCCTAATGATTGACATTAAGGTTGTTTCCAGTTTTTCCCGTCATATCTATTAGTTTGTTGGATGTGCTTGTTTATATATCTTTGTGCATTTGTGTAAGTGTATATGTGGCGTAATTCTTAGCCTTGAAACTGCTGGATGAAAGCATATATATTTTAAACGGTCCTCTAAAACTTATGATTTATATTCTTATCGTAAAATTATATGAGGATACCTGTTTTCCTACATTCTCACCAGTGTTGGATATTAGCACACTTTTTAGTTTATGCCAATGTAATAATGAAAAAAGTTACATTTAACTTTATTTCATTAATTATATGCAGTTTTAAGCATCTTTTCAAATTTTGAACAGTCTCATGTCTTTAACCTTGCTGTTGCTATTCCTCTTCAACTTGGAATATTTTCTTTTTTCCTTCCATTTTTCTCTGAATCTTTATCATTCTTCAAGGCCTTGTCAAAATCTGTTTTTTCCTTTATTGGATTTCCCAATAACCTCAGTGTAAAATGATTTCTCCCTCCTAATATAGCTAATGCTCTGTCTTCCACTTAACATAGTTTTATACCAGTCCTAATACATATGATTTTCTTCTTCTAGGATTTCCGAATTTACAGGATGGCTGAACGTTAATGGAGAGAGAAGCATAGACCTATCTTCTTTCACTATGGAGGCAGGTCTGGCAGATGGAGAACCTGACCGAACTTCGGTGAGTGGTTCAATTACAGCATAATAAGGTAGTATCGTCTGTGGCTATAAAGTATTTGATAGAAGCCATGATTTTATTTAAAAAAATATATTTAAAACAAACTTTTGAAAGGATAGTTTAAAATAATACTTTAACTCCTCTGTTGATATGAAAATTACAGATAGTTTAAAGCTTGTTGGAGCACAACCGAGTCAGTTTTCTGAAATTTCTGCCCCATCTCCTCCCACTCTTCCCTCACCTTCGCAGCCATATAGTGTAAGACATACTGATATAGTAGTTTGTGTTTATGTTTTTCCCTGAAAACTTTGTCTTAGTGAAACAAGAGGATGTTAACAGTTGAGGAGATTAAATGCCTCCAAATCTCAAGTCACATGCGGCCAGGAGCAGATAAAGGGAATGAAACAAAATAATTAGGAATCAAGAGCAGTTGCCACATTTATTCTTTCTGTAAAAACATAAAGATTTAATAAGCATTGCTGCCTTGTGATTGTGATTGAATTGTATTCTGAAGTTAAAATAAATAAGTAGGCGTACTGGATAGTATACCTTATCTAATAAGTAAAAATCAAATTCACCAGTAGGGTAGATTAAATGGTGATTTATCATTGTACAAAAACATTTTGTTCCACGATAATTTTATTTTCAATTCTCCTGTTGCTTTTGAGAGAGTCTATTAAATATTGATTTATAGACTCTGTGAAGAAGGTTTCTGCTACCTAAAGGAATGTTGCTCCTGGGTAACGTAGTCAGCTGGTACCTCTATGGTTTGTTAGGTGGTGGATTCTTGGACAAATTTCTGTTTTTGGAATAGTGCGGAGGCCAACTTTCCTGTCTTTCACATTGCTGTGGAGGTGAGAGTCACTGTCATATTGAGGTGTTTGTAAATTTTAACTTAGTAAATGTCCTTTGTTCTGGCTAAAATGTAGGAACAGCCTAATGATTGATAGCAAAATGCAGTTTTGCTTACTTGTATTAACTTGGTCCTAACCTTTCTTGAATTTCTGGTTCAAACTTGTTTTACTTTCTTAAATAGTCAAAAAAAGTTAAGCTTTAAAATCGTAACTTGTTAATAGAGAATAAAATGGACATGGAAGTAACTTGATGTATGAGGAAGGTTATTGTCATGGCGATTATAAATGGAAAACTGATGGTAGGTTATTTTATTTTTACTATGATTTCAGCAAAAAGTTAAGATTAAAGCCTTGTCTTAGAACATGATGTTTACTTTTCCATAAATAGCTTCTTATTTAAAGCTAATGGACTTTCTTAAGTTCTTTTAGCTAAAATATTTTAAATCTCTTAGTGATAATGAAAATGCATTTTCATTCTTTTACTAACAATAATTGCTATTTTCTAAGTGTATGCTTTGTGAAACTGTCCTCATAATAGCCATTAAAGGTAGATATTTGTCTATCCTCACTTCATGGATAGGGAAATGGGCTCAGGGAGGTTAGTTATGTTCTCTAAGAGCTCACAGTTGGGCAGCTGAGGTTTGTTTGTCTCTGAATATTTACTTTGCCATTAAGGGTTGACTTCGTACTTGTCTTTCTGAATAGAATTGCTTAAAATGTATTGTTACCTTTTAAAATAAATAAGTAGATAGTATTAAATTCTTTACCAGAATACCTGTGCTGTAGTAATAAAGTTGTAATCATTTTTTATTTTAAATTCTGTTGATGTTGAGAGGTTGGAGCAAGTTATTTAAAAAGCAGAGCAGTTTTTTTCTTCTTTTCATTGTTTCTTTTATGAAATATTGTAGCTCATTTTAGAGAGAATACCAATAATTTCAATAAGAACTGCTGAAATATTCTGTATTTAAAACTAATCTTGAGGTCCATTTTGAGTTACTTATTTATAAAAAGCACCTTTGCACTGTGCGGCCTAAGCCAGTTACTATTTAGGTGTAGGAGAAGTGGGATGAGAGCAGGGGCTCTGTAGACATTTAGCTACTTGTTAAAATCCGAGCTCTGTCGCTTAGTTGTATAACCTAGTTAATTAAATCCTCGGGTTTCCAGTTTCCTCATCTTTTAAATAAAAATAATAGGAATATCTACCTCCCAGACTTCTTTTGCGTTTTAATTGAGATAATATATCTATAAAATGCCTCTTACAAAGCTATGCACATTGTAAACATCTAATAAATAAAAGCTACTATTGTTATTGTTAATATAACTGTTAAGATTAAGCCTTCTCTTCTGAAAGATAAATAATTAGAAGACAGGAGAGACAATAAAGCACATTGAAAAAACCCTAGGCTATTTGGTAATTTTGGCTTTACACTTTCTCTGGATCTCAGTTTTTCTGCCTAAAATATTGAGGCAAATACTCTACTTCAATAAAAAATATATAGGGAAGAATACTTGTCCTGCTTACTTGTTACGGACAGTTTGACCTAGTGAAACCAGAAATTTCTTTGAAAATATAATGCACTGTGTCAGTACGAGGTGGTGGTGTTTTTAAAAATCTGATTGCATGCACTGGTTTTTAAAATATTATTAGTAAACTTTTTTTGAATGCAGCCTTTGTGCAAAGTACTATGCCAGATGAAGGGGATGCCAAGAGATTCACGATGTAGTCTGTCTGAATTATGTTTATTTTGGGAAGACTAGAGGAGAAATGGATAGATAAGACAATAACAGTGTTTACTAGGTGTTAAATGAGGGCCATATACAAGGCGTAGTTCACAAGTTCTGAAGCTTGGGTCGTTGTTCTACACTGGGGTGGTTAGAGAAGCTTTCTTAAAACATAAACTTTGAATAACACAGGTAATAGGGATCATGAGATTGAAAATGAGCAAGGAGAACATTTTAGGAAGGGAGGATAGCAAGAGGCAAGGCTAAGTGGGGAATTAATTGCTCAAGGTTTATTCAGGGAAAACTGAGTAGAAAAATTGATTAGGTAGATTGGAAAGTAGTGGTATTTACAGGAATAATGATTGATGTGGCAGATAGATACTAAACTTATGGAAGTCTTTGAGTCCCAGACCACAGATTTTGAACTTGGTCCTGTAGGCTGTGGTATGTCATTGACTCTCTTTATGTAGTTGGATAAGATGAATCTGGAATCAGATATAAAATGATTTGGATGAGTGAGAGATAAAGATATTAATTAAGATACTATTGTAGTAGTCTTGGTTGTGAAGTTGTCAAAGCTTGGACTCAGTCTGACCTCATTCATTTAATTTTCTTCTTTCAAAAGTTATCATGAGATAACTTTTTATATATATATTTATTTTGAGGAAGATTAGCCCTGAGCTAACATCTGCTGCCAATCCTCCTCTTTTTGCTGAGGAAGACTGGCCCTAAACTAACATCTGTTCCCATCTTCCTCTACTTTATATGTGGGACGCCTGCCACAGCATGGCTTGATAAGTGGTGCGTAGGTCCGCACCCAGGATCCGAACCGGCGAACCGCGGGCCACCAAAGCAGAACGTGAAAACTTAACCACTGCACCACTGGGCCGGCCCCAGAGATTACTCTTTATGTTTTTAAAAAATTCATTTGCTTATTCATTATCCCAGTTGCCTATAGTTATATTTTTTGTGGTAGTGTTGTTTGTCTTAGGTGGTAAATACTGAAAAACATGGATTAAATTTCTCAATGTGGCACTAATATACTGTAGGACACAAACGTACATTTAATATATGTCCTAAAATATTTTGTAAGAGTCCAGAATTTATATCACTTTAGAAATTAATCTCTAAGGAATTGTCGACACAGATGGTGAATGACTATTCTATAGATAAGGGAGATATGGTGACCTTTACTTGAGCTGTGCTGAGGGCAATAATCTGGAAAGGCAGTCTCCACAAGGAAGAAAGCATTCTGGAGAAGCATGGTTTTCAGTATAGTTTTATACCTTTATAGAACAAAGAACATACATTAAACACACCCAGGATACACATTCACCAAAGTTTCAAAGAGATATTGAGTTGCAGATTAGCAGGTCAACATGCAGCTGATGTCTCCTGAGGGAATTTATCTTCAGGAGTACTGATGTGGGTGTTACCAGTAGTACTGTAGGAGGGGGAGTATGCATCTTTATCTTCAGAGTGCCTTCTTTTACTTTTGAGATAACGTTTAAGGCATGCTTTACTTTAGTGGTAAAAGCACATGTACAATGTATGTTTGATAGGTCATAAGTCAGATTTTTGTTTAGGCCAAAGTAACTACTCCATATACTTCAATATGTGAAAATTACTTATCAAAATGCTTAAAGTGTAGGAGTCAATTTTTATTAATAGATTGAGGTGGACTAAATAAGTGAAATATCTTTTTAGATTTTAAAAAATTAGAATATCTTCCTTAACTTAAGGAAAGTCTTACATCTTTTGAATATCTAATATGTTATTTCAGTTACCAGAGGAAACTGCTTTTTAAGTTCTATTATAAGTCAAAATCTTTTGTTGTATTAAAAATTGATTATGTAAGTGGCTTTTTAGAAGAGAATAAAAGTTTTAAAAATATGTGTGAATCTTTTTAGTATTATAATGGGCGCTCAATTCAGGAAATCTTTCTTAAGATTCTCATTTAAATTGGGTGCTTTGAATCAAAGCCTTTCTGAAGTAGAAGGAACCACAAAGATGATTTCAATTATTCTCAGAAGGTGGTAAATGAGTGTCTTCCTGATGGACCTAGAGATAATCCAACTTCCTGAAACTTTGATTTTGCATACTTACTGGGTAAGTTTTTCATGATTGCTGTGATTTGGTGTTCATAAAGTAAAGTTGGTATTTTATTAGAGTTTATTGAGAGCTTTAAATCATATTCTCAATGTGGCTACTATATGTAACATTTAGCAACATTGTACAGCTTGTGTATATGGTCGTGCAAATTAATAGAATTGCTCCAATTTTTGGTAATGTCAGATATTATTTTTAGTGGGTCACAGTTTTTAAATGTTGCTATTTTTGTTAGGAATATTAATAGTTTAGCTTCGTCATTATCTTTATTGATTTAGTATATTGTGTGGTATTGGTGATAGCATATTTGTAATGACA